TTATTTTTAAATATATTTTTAAAATTATTTTACAATTAATACGAGATCCCACGTCAGTTAGAGTGGAGAATAAAACCTTCTTTATAAAGGTGTGAAAACCTCTCTTTGATAATAGCGTTTTAAAAATTTTGAGAGAATTTCCGAAAGGGAAAGTCCAAAGAGGACAATATCTGCTAGCGGTGGGCTTGGGCCGTTACAAGTGGTATTAGAGCCAGACACTGAGTAATGTGCCAACGAGGAGGCTGAGCCCCAAAGGAGGGTGGACACGAAACGATGTGCCAGCAAGGATGCTAGGCCCTAAAGCGGGTGGACTGGGGTCTCCTACATCGATTGGAGAAGAGAATGAGTGTTAGCGAGGACGTTAGGTCTCAAAGGGAGGTAGATTGTGAGATCTCACATCAGTTAGGGAGGATGACAAAACATTCTTAATAAGGGGGTGGAAACTCTTCCATAGCGAACGCATTTTAAAAACATTGAGGGAAAGTCTGAAAGAGAAAGCCCAAAGAAGAAAATATCTACTAAGGGTGGGCTTGAGCCGGGATTTTTTAAAATAAAAATAAATCTTTTTAATCTATTTTTGCGTATATATAAATAATATAATATAGTTTTTTTTTTTTTTTTTTTAATCTTAAACAAAACATGTTTTCTATTCCTTATACCATGGGCTCTCCAATAATGGTTGAGAGAGACAGACTTTGACCAACAAGAATATATCGTCCATTGAGGATATGGATGGCGTCTCATGGTGGGCTGCTCTTACATTTGTTTGAAAAAGGATTGACGTGCCACATAGCAAACTTTGACTTATACTTCAGCTGACCCGAATGGTTCGTTTTGAACTCGTTTACAAGGCTAGCTAAGTTATATTTGTTTTATGAATAGACTTTAAATTCGATTTTCTCGATGAATGGAACATCATAAGTCAGCCTGAATTTTGATTGAACTGAAGTAGGAACGATCAGATGGATTGATTAATGTATGAATTAACACGTAACCTGTGATCTTACTTATATGTTATTATTTATATTTCGTGTTGTTGCTCATGTTAAATACAATCACGTGCATCATTTTTAACCATGATTTTTAATGTCAGATCTCATGCATGTCGTAGGTCATGTGGGCATAGATTATTTCTCTAGTATATTACGTACGGACTCATATATCATGTTATTATTCATGTTCTTTTCCTTTTCGTATGTTTTACACAGCATGAGCATGTGCTAGCTCTCATAGTTAAGCTGCGGGAGTACAATAATGAGTCTGCATAGTGAATTTATGCACACACGTGTGAACCGTGCGTAGATAAGTAAAATGTATCTAACCCTACTCGTAGGAATAATCATGAAAATTAGGTCCCACAAATCATGATACACGTACGTGGTTGCATTGTTTAATCTGAACAGTGGAGTCACTTATTGACCGAGCAAGAGGTTGAAAAAGGTAGAGAAATGATTGACGTGACAATCTTAAATTTCAAAAATCTAAAATTGATTTTGACCCACCCTTTGACCGACGAGTCAACCTCTCCAAGCTCAAATTTGTTTTCCGACTCACATTTTACTTTTATTAAATTACGTGAACAACTTGAGCGAACCCAATACAAGAATTTTATTGTTCGGATGAGGTTCGTTACATAATAAAAATTGTTCAGATTGAAAAAAAAAACTACAATTCAAACGATTGGGATAGATCGAAAAAATGTCTGAACCCAACCTAACCCAACCACATATTTCTGGTTGTCACTCGAGTTCGATTAGCCCAAATCGTTCATAGTAGAGCTGAGGCCGACCTAAATTGGCACGTTGGAAAACCCTTATTCCCAACTTTGAATTTTTTTGTAGTAAGTTATTGTCCTTTATTATCAACTTGCAAAGATTTCTTTGTGACTTCTAAATTGGCATTTGTGTATGCATTACATCAAACTTCTTTTCTTTTGACCATTTGGTTCATGATCCCATGTGGATTTTTTAAAGAAATATTATTTTATATTTATTTTTAATACTCAAATTGCAATTCACAAATTAATTTAATTACTTTAGTGACATGATGTTTAGGTATCCCTGCTACAGATGTTTAAAGAACGACTAGAAAGTTATTGCGCTTGAATTCAACTATTCATAGTGTCGATCATATTAAAGTGTCAAATAATTTGATCAAAAATAATTCTTGGTTCTGCCCGCTCGTCTACACTCCAAGAAGAATGAATGTTTCACTGTGTAAGGTTGGCTCGGAGAGAGAATAGGTAGACTTTCCCTCTCCACATCTAAGTCATTTCTCGCCTCAAGCCCTTCAACGAGGGTAAGAAAAGGTCGCTAGTAGTTGAACAGAAATGGAGAACGTAAAGAATACATATGATATATTAATATTTTGTTTTCTACAGTGATCGAATTTATTACGGGTGTTCAAAGAATTTCATAACCCGATTATCCGATAAATCCAACCGAACTCAAACGAGTTCAAATAAATGAAGTTTGGATGGTTCATAGGTTCCCTTGAAAATAGGCTGGGTTGAATAGAACCTACTGAATTTATTGCTAATTTTAAAATATACATCTTTGCATATATATGAGTCTACTAGAGAAAGATGTTTGTATACGCTTATAACGAATTTTTCAATCGACTTGTGAGATCTCACATTAATTTGGGTCGAACATTCTTAAAATTTGACGGACTTGAACCGCACGTATCGTTATCAGCCAGATGGTAGAGAAAGAGAGAAGAGTTTGACCAGTCCAACAACCTATCCAACTTGAGAGAGAATCTGTGGACAACATTTTCGGTGGCTAATTTTTTTATTATTTTTGTCGAAAAAGAAATTGAAATTGACATTACGAAATGTGTCTGGTCGGCTGTTCTTTTGAATTCAACTAATTTTCCAGCAGCCTCCCTCACTTCGTGTTTGATTTTTCTTTTGAATCAATTAAGATTAAGTCATATAAAAAACACTATCACTAACAATACGTAAGTTTGTAAATTCAATAGTTAAAAATTGTATTCAAATAAATATGTCCGTCCTAAAATCAAAATAGCGAAGAAATTTTGGTCGACATTTAAAACATTTTTATTATGGAGAAGTATATTTTTAACATGTGCCACATAAACTTAGGTTGGTGAGATTAAATCAATCGAGGAGTAAAGAGGACATTTTGCCCCTCAGCCCATTTTAAGGGTTCATGTATAAGAATTCAAAAAAAAAAAAAATAGTAGCCGGAAATTTTGAGAGTTTCGGTGCCTCGCTGGAATTCTCGAGCACCCACGCCAAACGTGACTGTGACCCAAATGTTGGCCTACGAACCAAAGCTCAATGTTTGCATTCCAATAGCCAAAGCCCATCCACATCCCACGACCCACGTACCCGAGTCAGCGACCCGAAATCTACGCCTTGACCCTGAATGCCACCCCCGACGCGTCGCCTCTTGAGAGAAACATGTGTCGTGTATACAGATGACGACTCCTTCGACTCACTCAGCGTTGACGACTCGAAAAGGGGTTATTTGGCTCTGGTTGCACGGTTTGATACTAATTTATACATTTTCGACCTCCCGAAGCTGAATTTGACCTTCATTAAGGTAAATGAGGTCAGTATAATGTCCTATTTATAAATTTAAGTTAAATTATGATAGAAATAGGAGTTATTAATGTAAATTAAGATGAACGTTCAAATAGGAAATAACTCCTGACGATACATGGAGCAACTTCGAGGAAACAGAATCCAAACGTACTCAAGTTTAGGGAGAACACCAGCTAAGTCCAACCAAGTACGTGGCCTTATTATCGGCATGTTTATATTTGATGTTGACAAGTGCCCAGTGGTTTTGTATGTGTCGTATATATTGATATGTGTGAATTGTTTATAAATTAATATGACTATGACATGATATGTGAATTGTGTGATAACACTTATGATATGTTTAATATTGGATACGAGAAAGATGTGATAAACATAATGTAATGATAGAACTAAGATCTGTTCATAAAACGTTATGGTAAGATTATGTGTAGAAAACATTATGGTTATGATAGATTGATAAAATGGTACGATAAGGTTATATATACAAAACGCTATGACTAAGAAAGATTGATGAAACGATATCATAAGGTTATGATAGAAAATATTATGGTAAAATGAAAGAGGCTATATTGGTTAAGGAAAAACTGATTGGGTTGGAAAAGATGAGGTTGTATGTACAGAGTATGGCGAAAGGTGATTTGGACGTCAATAGGGTGGAGCCGAAGAGTAATCAATCAACTCCGCCTGTAGCAACCATGGCGACTGCCCTACGGCGTCCAAAGCAAGCAGTGGTGGTGGAAAAGAATGGTAGAGGACTCAGAAGCCATTGGGAATAAAGAATCGAGGTTGTTAAATCGAAAGGGCTCTGATACCATGAGAATGTTTGCTTAATCCACCGCACCTAAATGGCGTGTGAAAGTTCTCTATTTATATTCAAATAAATTTCTAGGATATGAAAATAGTAATAAATGGAAAGATACCTATGGTAATAAGGTGAGATATTGTCCTTTAATAAAATATCAAATATGATATATATGATAAACTATAATTTAATATTAAATATCCTTAACAAAACGATATAACTACAAAATGTTTATGAAATGGTTAGGATATGGGAACGATGTATGTATTTACATATATCGTAATATAATATGAGACTTATATGATATATGTTATGGTACGGTAACTATGATAAGATATGTTGAAGGCACACCCGGGATATGCTATGTGATTGTTATGATTTACGATATGATATAATATGTGCATGGTGTGGATTGTTATGTTCGAAAACAAGTAAATATTATGATATGATATATGTTGGCATAAATAATATGATTGACATGCAAAACAACGAACTAGCATGAAATACAACCTCGACATACGCATGCAAAATACAATAAATGATATGAGAAATAATATGATAGGAAGGAAGATGCTAGCGGGGTTGTATTAAATGATAATGAAAATGAAAAAAAGTAGGCATCGAGAGATACTCCTTATCCTTGAACGTATACACTACGAGGTAGGAAAACAATCATTATGTTACCATAATACTACAGTGACAGTCGCTACTCTTAATGGATGTCTGACATCAACAGTTCTCAGAGAATACTCGCTCGATCATAAAGAGACCTAAAAAGTGTGCGAACCGACTAATGAGTCCATACTCACACGAACTTGGACTCATCTTTAATGAAATGAGTCACAATTAAGTTCACTTAATCCAACTCTAAAAATTTTATATTATGATTAAGACTGTTTTTTTTTTTTTTTTGTATTAATTATATATTTAGTGGACATGAAGCAGTTTCTTGTTCAAGAAGGCATGGTCTGATTCGGTGCTTCTATATTACGTCATTATACCGTCACAAAATGACATCACCATCCTGCATCATCATACACGTGTCCATAGATGATTGGACTGATGTACCAGAAATAATCCACTGTGTGTGTGTATTATATATATAATTCCTTGTTCAATCTCATAGCTCTGAAGCTCGAAGAGAGAGGAAAGATGACAGAGAAAACAGAGAAGCAAAGGTCGAAAGAGAAAGACGGCGGAAAGAATTCCGGCAACCGGAATATAATGTATCCAGGTCGTCCCTTTACACCTAACCTTCCGCGGTCAAGGAGCAGCATCAAAAATGGCTTCTTGAAAACAGTTACCATCGGCGGCAGCTCCTCCACCACCACCACCACCAAGAACTGACTTACCCCCTTTGTCCTCTGTGCTATAATTTCAAGTATCATCAATAAATTATATTTTAGTTATTTTCGTTGGTTCTTTTAATTAAATGATATTTCCATGGCGGTGGGAAGAATTTTTCAGATCATCCAAGGGTGGGGAATCTTATCATTAAAGTGTGGTTATGGGCGGTGGCGGTGGCGGCGGCGGCGGCGGCGCCCCCCAAACCCAAATCATAAAATTGGTATGTCACTCTCATAGATGTAATGGTGGGGTTGGGTCCTAAAAAGTGAAGCTAAATGTAGTCGAAATTAGGATATGGTTTGAATTTGGATTGAATTGACCAAACTTACTTTAATTTATTATCCGGTTAACTTTTAAAAAAAAATGTCGAAGTCGTAGGAGGATGCGAGAATTCTGGTGACCGTCGGAATTTTAACGCTCCACACGACGGCGACCTCCACGGATGGAGGTACATCACCACGCTCCCACCTACATCAGCCAAGACTCTTAGACTTCCCCGAGTACTTGGAACAAAGAAACGAAAAGGGAAAATAGTAAGAGAGAGAAATCGAGCGGAACTTTGGCGATGGACAAAAATCGTGAACCCTTAAACGAAACAACCAAACTAAACGTCGGAAAGTTCGACTCATGCCACGAGAAGGATCCCCACTAAGTGTACCTCGATCTAAGGAACGTTTTGTGCCCTTTTCGTGTGTGTTGTCGTCGGTCAACGGAATTGGAATTTTGACTTTTCTAAACGTTTCTAGATCTGTGGCTTTAGGCGTTTTCAAGGCACAAAACGTTGAGGAAGAGAGGAGGAGGGGTCAAAAAAGAGTTAGGGAGAGAAAATACGTTAGAAACCGTTGTGAGAAGGAGAGAAAAAAGTTGCCAGAAAATCGTGTTGCGAGTTCAGTGAAGAAGAGAGGATCCGACCGATCCATGTCGAACCCAATCCATAACCTTCGGCCCAATCCACTACAACGGCCCACGCCTGTAACGTGTCAACCCGAACACTCTACTAGGGAGATACCATTTCTAACAGCCCAAGCCCACCGTTAACAGATATTGTCCTCTTCAAGCTTTCTTTTTGGGGCTTCTTCTCAAAGTTTTTAAAACACGTCAGCTAGAGAGAGATTTCCACACCATTGTAAAGAGTGTTTCATTCTCCTCCTCAACCGATGAGGTATCTCACAAATACGGATGTGTACCTCACGATATTTATATTCGTCATGATATTATGCGGACCCTTTCCCATTGTAGATTCCAATAGCTTGTTAGCGAGTGCTAGCCTAAAGAGTTAGACCAAGGGTACGTTCACAAGCCCACTTGATGGGTCCATATACACGATAGGAAAGAGACATTCAATCTTGCACGATCTTAAAATACTAAATTGAAGATATTATTATTTTGGGAGGAAAAATAATTAATATTTTTAATTATATTTAGATTATATGGATAATATCAACGTGTGGTGCATGATAAAGAAAAAATAATAATAATAATTGGACCACTAATTAATAATAATATAGAACATTTTTTATTTTATTTTGCAGGCTTTTTGAAAAAGGAGGCCTTAACAGTGGTGAAGCCAGTTGTTCGCAACGTTGAGTGGGTCCCGGTAACTTTATGCTTAGTGGGTCCCAACAGTAAATTTTTTTTAATCTAATCAACTTTTATTAATATAATAAATTAAATTTAGATTTATTTGAGATGTAAAATAAAATTGAAAAATATTTATTTATTTTCAAAGATTTAATTTTTTTTAAAACTATTTTTAATATATATTTTTAAAAGTACATTAAAAATTATTTTTAAAGGATGGTAGAATAAATAAAATAATAATAAATAAATAAATAAAAACTGTCTCCACCACTCCACCACTTTGCACTGACCTCTCGTCTCTTCTTTCAATTATCTCTCCTCAAACTAACTAAAATCACGATTCCTCCAAAATGATAGAGATTTAGGTGAAGAGAGATCTAGTCGTATATATTAAATCTTCATTTTCTTTTATCTTAATTATTTTTTTAGAAATCACAGCTAATTATAATCTTTCACTAAATTACTGCAATTGTTTATATGAATTCTAGTAAATCAGCAAATTTATATGAGTAGCGGAATGAATCTATGGAATAAAAATTGACCAAGAAAATCTGTGACAGAATTAGAAGAAGAAAAAAACACATATAAGAAAAAGGGAAGATTTAGAAATAAGGATTCGAATTAATTATATTATAAGGTGATATGAACATTCCTACTCCCATCTCGAAAAAAATAAAAATAAAATAAATGTAATAAAAAGAAACGACCAAATGAATATTAATTTTCTTTTCTTCATCCGCTCATTGTAAAGAGAGGCTCAGCTCAAGTGGTTTACTTCCTCAGTGGATGATGACACGTACATCGTAACCCTAAATTATTGTAGGTCTGAACTCGCGTGCGTGTGCGCAAATAGTGCCACGTGTCCTACATGATTGGACAATAAAGTCATAAATTCTTCTCCTATCTTAAAAAATAGTATTTTAATTATTTAAACAAATTTGTATTTTTTTTTTGTTTTATTTTTTTATTTTTTATTTTTAAAACTTTGATAAATTCGAGTAATAGTTTTAAACATTAAAATTTATCTAAAAAATGAAATAAAATTAATTAAGTGTATACGTGGAAGTGAAAAAAAATTGATTTATTAATAACTAACCATCAAATTGAGATTAGAATTTAATAAAAATAAATGGAATATTAAAATGCTTAGTGTGTGGCAACCCTTAATGCAATTTTGTGTGTGGAATCATTAAAGTTTGGAATGGATTAAATGTAAGATATTAATAATTTTATATTTTATAAACATCAACATCAATCAACTTATAAATACACATTCGATAAATAATTTTAAGAAGAATAGAGAATCAAGAATGAAAAATATAATCTTTTTTATTTTAAGGAGCAGGTAGAGCTTTAACGTTATTTGAATTATTGTAGATAGGTTGACCAAAACCGCCCACTTCATTCTAGAGAAGACTACGTACTGAATTGATAAGTGGGTTCGATTTTATGTCAAAGAGAATGTTCGTCTGCATCGCGTCCTAATTTACATCATGTCCGACCATGACATTAGATTCACCTCGCATTTCTAGAAGGGAATGTAGAAGGCTTTAGAAACGCAGCTCAGGTTCAATACGACCTTCCATCCCTAGATGAATGAGCTTGCAAAAAGGTTGAATAAGGTTTTAGAGGATATGTTGAGGGCTTGCGTAATGGATTTCATTGATAGTTGGGATAAGCACCTACCCGTTATGGAATTTGCCTATTATGACAGTTATGAGGTAACTGTTTTGGTCGCACCATTTGAAGTGTTAAATGGGCATAGGTGTTGAACATCGATATTGAAGGATGTTAGATATATTCCTGATCTCAAGAAAAATCTGATTTCTATTATTCAGTTGAACAACACATGTTATGCAACAAAGTTTGAAAAGAATTTGTGGAAAATTGTGAAAGGTGCTATGGTGGTAGCATACGACAAAAACATAGAAACTTAACCACAATTGTAGAGTATATAAATATAGTAGTTGTTGTTGGGAGTGCATCCAATTCAAGTCTATGACACAATATACTTTGACATATCAGCGCTAAAGGAATGAAAATGTTGGCTGCAAAAGAAGTTTTAGAAGACCTGGAATATGTTGATATGGGTCTTCATGAGAGTCGCGTTATGAGCAAGTATAACTAGTTAGCTTCGCAAAGGTTGCTAGAGAACCAAAGAAAGTACGGCTGGAAATGGTATACAGACGTTTGGGGACCGTCTTTAGTTCCATCACTTGGTGAATCCAAGTTCTACGTCACCTTCATTAATGATTCAACAGGAAGGTATGAGTTTATTTCCTTAAACGCAAGTCAGACGTGTTTTCCACCTTCAAGAAGTGAAAAGTTGAAGTTGAAAATCAGATTGATTTGGAAATCGAACATATGAGGTCTAAAAATGGAGCATTTTATGCAATTAAGGGAATCATATTTATTAGAATAGTTCCCAGTAACGAAGATAATATTGCTAAAAAGATGAACATAACATTGAATGAGCGAGAAAGAAGCCTAGAGATTCACTATAGATTACCAAAAATATTTTAGATTGATGTTGTGCATATGGCAGCCTACTTTATTAATAGAGGGTTGTTAGTAATCGAGAGTTCAACTTGCTAGAAGAGGCATGGACAGGAAAAGAACTCAAATACATTCAATTGATAACATTTGGTTGCACTACATATGTTCATGTTGATCCGGAGAAGAGAGATAAGCTTATAATAAGACTATGCAGTGCTACTTCATAGGCTATGATTCTCACATGCTCGGGTAAAGATTTCTGGATGACAAAAAGAGAAAATTCCTAAGACATGGTGACGTGGGATTTAACTAAAATGTGATGTATAAAAACGAAGAGAAAGATTCAGAGACTAGAAGCAAGTGGGAGTTGAGGTTGAGTTGTAGAAAAGTTCACCTAGAGGTGCTGTAGCAGAAACTCTTGAAACAGTTGTTGAGGAACCAGAGGTAGAACAAGTGACACGTAGCACGGATTGAGAAGACCATTAACAACCATTAGAGCATAGATATTCACCTTCATTACACTATCTATAGTAGACTGATGATGGAGAATCAGAGTCCTTTGAAGACCCTGTAGGCGGAGGATTTTCAACCAAGTTGGAGCAAACCATAGATGATAAGATGAGCTCACATAGAAAGAATAACATATGGTTATTGACTAAGTTACCTACAAGAAAGAGATTTTTGTTGAACAAATGAGTATTCAGAATCAAGGCTATACCAAATGGAAAAAGGAGATTCAATGATCGACTAGTAGTGATATGAATCCAACAACTGATCACTTCCATGTACCCGAACGAGCAATTACAAGAAGCAATACAAAAAAGATTCAAGTATCAAATCAAAAAAATAATGGAGTGGCTGACATTGGAAAGTGATTAGAAGACTTGCCTTTGGTAGTTGAACTACCAATTAAGACAATTTATTAATGCCTTCTTTGCTTCAATTTATATTTAATAGCATTTATTAATAGTTTATATGAATTGCCTTATATTCTTCAATTTGCATTTAATAGCATGGTTGGTGGCTGAACTTTATTTTGCTAGGGTTATCTTTTGGGCCTATTTAAAGGCATGTAATACTCATGTTTGGGAGATTTTGGTTGAATACAGAAAAAACTTTTGTGTTTTCTTGATACCCTTTTGGTGTTATTCTTTTTCAAATCTTGCTTTAGGTTTGATGTTTAAACCGATCCATTGAATTAGTTTTGATCAAGCTAATTCTGGAGTGAATTGTCTTGGTATCTAAGAGTGACCATCATAGATTCCAAGTTCGATCTAAGAGTCATTCATCTTCTAACCAGCTCTTGGTTGGAATCAATCCGTTAAGTTAGCTTTCTCTGTGAGCGTTTTGCAAGGATTCTAGAAGGACCTCTAGCTTTGCAAATTCCAGCATTGTAGGCGCTTATCATTTGCAAATTTCGGAATAAAGGCTTTTTGGAATTGAGTACCCTTCTTGTGATCAAAGATATGGAATTACCTTCTTCAACATACTCATCAACATATGCTGCGATTTCTTCCCCAAGCTGTGAGTCATGATCCTCACATTCATCATCTGAATCAAGTATACCATTCCTTATCACCATAACTTTTTTATTAACACACTCTTTGCTCATGTGTCCAAACCCTTTGCACTTCCAACATTGAATAGAACTAGACTTCTCCTTTACCGTCTTTGAAGCTTCATTCTTTTTACCAATGGAACTCTCAGCCTCCACTCTTTTAGCGGCCACAAACTTTTCTTTTGGTGACATTGATTCATTTCTATTCACAAAACTATCCTTGTTCCAAGTTTTAGAATTTGAAAAGGTGTTAGTTCGTGATGTGTACCTTTTTGAATGCTCTTTCTCTTCCTTCAATTGGTCTTCAATTTTGAGAGCATAATGATACATGTCTTCCAGATATGGTGGTGGATTTCTGTCAACAAGATGAGCAATTTCTCGATTCAAACCTCCAAGGAATCTAGACATGGTATCTTCATCTTCTTCTCTAACATTTGCTCTTTCCATCATAGTTTCCATCTCTTGATAATATTCCGCCACACTTTTTGTTCCTTGCCTCAAACCTTGCAATTTAGTTTTCAAATTTCTTTCATAATGTTTTGGAACATACCTTTTTCTCATGGCTTCTTTAAGTTCTTCCCATGTCTCTATTGGATCCTCCTCTTTTCTTTTTCTCTCAGATTTGAGATGTTGGTACCAATCACCAGCATGATTGGTAAATTCGGCAATAGCAAGTCTCATCTTCTTATTTTCACTATAGGTGTTGCAATCAAACACATGCTCTATCTTTCTTTCCCACTGCAAGTATGCCTCAGAATCTGCCGTTCCACAAAAGGGCGGGATTTTGAGTTTAACTCCCCCATCTCTATCTTCATGTACTCTTTCCATTCTTCTAGGTTGCATAATAGTTGCATGGTTATTTCTTCCTCTCCATCTACCATCAACGTGTCTTTCTTGTACTACTATACCTTCATCTTCTTGTAATGTTCGTTCTTGTCTTTGTTGTTATGCCCTTCTTTCTTGTCTATCTTCCATCATCATTTCCATCATACCTTGAATTGCTTGAAGAATGGTTGTATTAAGATCTGGTACTGGTGGTACTGCTTCTCCATTATGTGACATTTTGTTATCAAGGGACCTCACCACACTTCTCACAAAAATTTCACTCAGGGACACTCGTGTTTAACACTCAAGGGTAGGCTTTTGGTACTAGGTCAAGAATGTAATAGGTCGTGTTATAAACGCCCTGGCTAAACCTATTGATGACCGAGGTGAAATTTCAAAAGGCTGGCTTTTTTTTTTTTGGTGCAATCTTGCTTTAAGCTTGATTATAACCAATTCAACGATCAATTCTAACAAGCTAAGACTAGTATCTCAAGGATCAAGAGCTTGAAAATAAATGATAAGAACTGAATATATATATTTTTTTCTCTCAGAACTGATTTTTTTTTTCTACTGATTTTTTTTCTTTTTTTTTCGATAATCTGAGAGAGAAAAAAAAATTGATACAAAAAAAATAACAATAAAAATATTTCACCTCTAGAGCGGCCAAAGAACGTCGACCAAATGCTCTGATACCAAATGATAAGCGCCTACAATGCTGGAATTTGCAAAGCTAGAGGTCCTTCTAGAATCCTTGCAAAACGCTCACAGAGAAAGCTAACTTAACGGATTGATTCCAACCAAGAGCTGGTTAGAAGATGAATGACTCTTAGATCGAACTTGGAATCTATGATGGTCACTCTTAGATACCAAGACAATTCACTCCAGAATTAGCTTGATCAAAACTAATTCAATGAATCGGTTTAAACATCAAACCTAAAGCAAGATTTGAAAAAGAATAACACCAAAAGGGTATCAAGAAAACACAAAGGTTTTTCTGTATTCAACCAAAATCTCCCAAACATGAGTATTACATGCCTTTAAATAGGTCCAAAAGATAACCCTAACAAAATAAAGTTCAGCCACCAACCACTAATAAATGCTATTAAATGCAAATTGAAGAATATAAGGCAATTCATACAAACTATTAATAAATGCTATTAAATATAAATTGAAGCAAAGAAGGCATTAATAAATTGTCTTAATTGGTCGTTCAACTACCAAAGTCAAGTCTTCTAATTACTTTCCAATGTCAGCCACTCCATTATTTTCTTGATTTGATACTTGAATCTTCTTTGTATTGCTTCTTGTAATTTCTCGTTCGGGTACATGGAAGTGATCAGTTGTTGGATTCATATCAAGTAGTTAAATGATATTCACAAAAGAAATATTTTTTTCTGTTGTGAAATTAACTACCAGAATTTTGTTGGGTATTGTTGCATCGAAGAATTTGCACTTTGAGCAAATGAATGTAAAAATAATGTTTTTATATGGAGATCTATATATGCAGCAACCAGAACGGTTTATAGTTCCAAGTAAGGAACACATGGTGTGCAAGCTCAATAGAAGTTGTATGGACTGAAGCAAGTGCCTAGACAATACTACAAATTTGAGTGCACAAAGTGTTTCTACTTATGTATATACAATATACATGATATATTGATTGCAGGATCGAGTACGAGGGAGATAAATCATGTGAAGCCAATCATGCCTTCAATACTTGAGATGAAAGATACGAGCGCAACGAAGTGCGTAAAAAAACCCAACTCGATAGCCCTAACTTCGTTGGTGGAATTCGTGGAATGAGAATTTTTTCAAGATAGATCTGTTGACACATTAAACATACTCCGAGAGTAGTACATTGAGAATTTATCCAAATTTAGTATGAATGATGCTAAACTTAGGACTACCGTTTAAAAAATTGTGTTAAATTGTGAAAGAGTCAATCTCCCAAGACATTTGAGAAGCGTGAAAACATGGCAGCAGTTCCATATGCTTTTGATGTTGGAAGTTTAATGAATACTTGTCACGATCCGATTTTTTAGGTTTCGAAAACTCCGATCCTAACTAAAAAGAAACTCATTAAATTCAATTTAGAGTATTTAGATTATCTATTAATAAAGTCGTAATTTTAATTTATTATTCAAAAATATCATTTCATTTATCTATGATTTTAGAAAGGAAACCTTCGTTCTTATACGTAAATTTGTCTCTATTTTGTTTTTTAATTTCTAAATTTATTTTACTTTCAAGGTATTATCCCTTCAAAAATTTTATTAATTGAATTTTTGTGATTGGTCGAAAATTTATGTGAACTTCACACTCCTCAAAATGGTTTTAAAATAATTTATTGAATTTGTTTTTTTACTTTTTTTTTTAGTGGTTTTTACTCTCTTTAAATGGCTTGGAATATTGCAGAAGGAATCCGAGAAGGAGAATATGTGATGAGACCAGACCCATAAGTTCAGGCAGTAAGAGAAGGGAGCCTTAGAAGTAAGAAAAAGAGTTTACAGTCTTTGAAAGGGGAAGAGAAAGGAAAGATTCCGGATCCTCCTTCTCCTCGTTCTCCTACTTCTTGAACAGTGAAGGCCTTTAAAGACCATTTCTTATTAAATTGATACTTTCCCGTGAGAAGGGGATGTTTTTGAGGTATTTGAGTGAATTTGCCCGGCTTTTGTTAGGGAAAAAGCTCTTTTAATGTTTTACCCCTATGTTAGATAGAAAAGGTTTTCTCTTGAGTGTTTACTGTTTCATTCATCTTTCGTCTTTCCTGACTGTTCACAATCACTTCCGTGCCAAGAGGTTTTGTGGGGGTGAGCAACTAGCTTCTGTCCTAAGGCCATCTATTTCTAGTTCTTACGAGCCAATTGCATAGAATGGGAATGGGAATGGGAATAATAAATAAGGCATTTATTCCTTCAATGCAGTCCGATTTAAGACCTTCTCCCGTTCTTCAAAAGATCTATCAGACTATGGTAAGATATTGCAATTCATTAATTATAATTATTAATAACCAATTATTAAATTTGAGAATAAAATAAATATATATTAGAAGCTAAATTAATAAAAATATTTTTGAATTTTGCACCGTGAGTAAAAAGATATTCCAACACTTTCAACGTTTCAATTAAAAAAAAGTTCAAAAATATTATTTTCATTAATTTTTTGGACGGAACCATTAATATTTTGTTTCAAAATTACGAACTTTCGAAAGGTCTCGAAAATACCTTTTAACTCTTAAAAAAATGTTTAAAAAAGATTTAAAAAGTTAAAAAATCACGTTTTTTTTTTTGGTTATTAGTATCATTTTTTAAATATAGTATCAACCATATAAGAATATTTTTGAACTTTATAAAACATTGTAAGAGTATTAATGAAAGTTTTTGAAGTTCAATAGTATTTTTGAAACGATATTGAAAATTCAGGAGTACTAATAATTTCCATCTAAAACTAACGTTAATAGTACTTCTTAGACTTTTCGTAAAATTTACGAATATTATTAAAACTCTAGGAAATATAAGAGTATTTTTTAGATAAAATATAAAGTTTATGAGTATTTTTATAACGACAGTACACAAAATAATAAAAAAAATTGATGATCGGTTTCCCACCTCTCCATTAGCCTCTCACAACTTCTTCCCTAAAATACAATTGTCATTGCGTATTAGTAATTCCTTCGTGCAAAAACAAACCGAAAACAAAAGGATTTTACACGGTTAGAAATTAAATGACAGGACTTTTTTAAAGTTTTAGAAAATCAATGGATAGTCATTTTCAAAGAAAAAGTAAGAATCTATTAAAATTGACCAAGAAAATAACTTTGAACAGGGAAGATCGAACCAGTATTAAATTGTTAGGCACATTTATATCCCTTACACACAAATGTATGTATAAATATATATAAACATTCCAAGACTCTAATCATGAAAAGTGTCTAATGTCCACATGAAGTCTAACACATGAACCACTTTAAAACTTAGCTAAATAGTTTTGCAAAAGTTTGAACTTGAAATTAATGTTATGGGCTCACAAAGGTTGACTTGAATTTCAAAGGACAAAATGAAACTTTCAATGATAAATTGGTGACACCAGCTTAAGTTAATTGGGTTAGTGATCTTACTATTGGCTCGGTCGAAAGACTTGTCTTATGTATGACGACATGTACCCAGTGACCTTTGCACGTGTCATTTATGCTTTATGTACTATGATGATGATGTGAACTAGTATAATATGATGATGATGATGTGAACTAGTATAATATGATTGATGTTATATGATGATATGATGATGTTATATGATAACGTGATGATGTCATATGATGATGATGACATGATGATATAATGATATGCTGATGTTATAGGATGATGATGACATGATGATATAATGATATGATGATATAGTGACGATGATATGATATGATGACATGACGATATGATGATATATGATGATGATGATGAATGAAAACATAATGATATGATGACGATGATGCATCAAAACATGATGATGATAATATGACTTAATATGATGATATTTCATATTGAGATGATGTGCATTTATTAAATGCGATGATGCACTGTGATGAAGAGTTTACTAAGACACAATCCTAAATGATGTTAATGATGATAAATGTATGAAGGGCAATGCATGCATGTTACCTAGAGTAACATGTGAATGATGTATATGATTGTGACATAAAAACAATTTAAGATGAAAAACTACAAGGACCTCATGTATATTGTGTGTTCATATACATTAGATTACTTCCTCATTTATAACGATGAGTACAGTCGCGTACACTAGGATGATGTACTAGGATGATAATGATCATTATGTCTTGTATGATATTCGAGGATTTGTTGCCTTCTGACGTCCGACTACAGACAACTAGCATGATGGGCCTAGAGAGGGGGTGCAAATCGCTTGGGGAATCACACTCACACATGTGAATCATGTGTAGGGAAGTACTATACATCCAATTCTGTGGAAATTCGGCTACGGACAACTAGTCAGACTATGATGGGCCTAGAGGAGAGTGCAAACTGCCTGAAAACTCACGCTTGCACGTGTAGGTCATGTGTAGGAAAGTACTACACATCTAATTTTGTCCGAACTGAAGGTCAACTCTATGATAGTTTTAACGATAGGTTCCTAATCATGAGTTGCATGTGTTTACATTCCCTGACCCCAATGGTGAAGTCATTTACTGATTATTTCATATAATACTCAAGTCATGTGCTACTTCTAATTTTCAAGTAAAGATACTTATTGAGTATTTCATAAAATACTATTTAGCTTCAGGAACGGTCATTTAAACCATATGCTACTCCTAATTTTCAAGAACAGTCATTTAAACCATATGCTACTCCTAATTTTCTCGCAGAGGAACTTACTAAGTATTTCATAACATACTACTTATTTTCAGGTTATTTTCAGGTAAAGGCAATTACTCTGGAGGATTGATAATTCAAGCAGTCTTTTCAGTCTTCAGTTCATGCAAAATCTGAACTTGGCTTCGAATCGGTTCAATTCCACGATCCCGTTCGGATTCGAACGACTCTCCAATTTGCGTGCGCTTAATATGTCTGATTCAGGATTGCTTGGAGTATTTCCACAAAGCATATTCAAGGGACCAAATCTTCAAACTCTGGACCTATCCAATAATGTTTTTCTGCAAGGTTCTCTCCCATTGTTCAAATTCGAAGGACCCCTTCAAAATCTGGACACTGCCAGATTCGACTGGTGTTCTCGAGAACTTGACCAGATTAGACCTGCAAAGTTGCTCGTTTAGTAACTCGATCCCAAATTCCATAGCAAAGCTCAGACAACTCACATATATCGCTCTTTCGAGGAACAGATTCGTTGGCACAATTCCATCGTTTTCGTTATTGAAGAGTCTTGAAGGCTTACCAATCTTGTTGTTCTTGAATTACGTAACAATTCACTCACTGGAAACGTTCCCTTATCTCTATTCCATCTTGAATCAATCCAGAGAATTCAACTCAGCTACAACAGATTTAATGGTAGTTTGAAGGAGCTCTCCAATGTGTCTTCTTCCTTACTTGATACCCTACATTTACAGAGCAATCAAGTAGAAGGTCTTAAGATTCTCTAACTTTCTTTCAACAATTTTTCTGGACATTTGAATCTAAACATGTTCAAGCAACTGAGGAACATATCAAGACTTGAATTGTCAAGAAACAGTTTGTCAGTTGACTCAAATGATACCTTCTCGACCGCCTTTCCTCAAATGACCGAATTAGAATTGGCTTTCCCTGAGTTCTTGAAAAACCAATCCAACCTCGTCTCTCTCGATCTCTCTGATAATGAACTTCAAGGAGAAATACCTCACTGGATTTGGGAACTCACAAGTTTACATCATTTAAATCTTTCTTGCAACTCGCTCACCGGTTTCGAAGATTCACCACAGAACCTCGCTGTTAGGATCGATACCAGTTGTTAGCTCTGATACCAACTGTTAGGATCGCTCAACAACGCACACACTCGATCAATATAAACACAAAGAACAGGAGATAGAAAATGCAAAGAGAATATTGGCTAAAAATTTTGTATGGATGACTTCAGATAGGTACAACAAGATAGAATACAATACACCTAACAAATATATCTCTATCAAATCTTTACTAAATATCGTATATCTCTATCAGATCTTTACGAAATATCTTCCAAATATATGTCTACCAGATTTAGGCATCAGGCTCCATATCCCAACACTAGCAACCCATCTAGACCTTTTTGACCTCCATTCCAACAAATTTCAAGGGCCACTCGAATTCTTCGCTCCATCAGCCTATTACTTGGATTATTCCAACAACAGTTTCAATTATGTTCTTCCATTTGATATTGGAAAGTACATAAATTATGCAGTATTCTTTTCAGCATCAAGAAACCAAATTCAAGGTAATATTCCTGAATCCTTATGCACATCTATAAATCTCAAGATAATGGATCTATCTCATAATAATATGGGTGGCATGTTGTTTCCTCCCCTGTGTCTAACTAAGATGACCACGAATCTAGTAGTACTAAATCTGAAAGAAAACTCCTTCAAAGGCTTTATTCCTAATACAGTTCCAAGTATGTGCGGCCTAAGAACTCTAGACCTAAGTGGAAACGACATTGGAGAGCAGGTACCTAGTTCATTGTCGAATTGCAAAGATTTGGAGGTTTTAGACCTTGGGAATAACCAGATATATGATACCTTTCCATGTCAATTGAAGAATATATCCACCATGCGTGTTCTTGTTCTTCGATCGAACCAATTTCACGGCAAGATTGGACGTCCAACGAGCAATGACTCCTGGCTTAGCCTGCAAATTATCGATCTATCTCGAAACAGATTCAGTGGTGATATACCAGGAGAAGTCTCAAGAAACTGGAAAACAATCGTTAATGGTGAAGAATATAGAAAATCAAAAGCTAATCACCTCCGCTATAATTTCTTCCGATTCAGTTATGTGAAATATCAAGATACAGTATCAGTTATAAGCAAAGGTCTGGAAACAAAACTCACCAAAATCTTAACAGTCTTCACCTCCATTGATTTCTCGTGCAATGACTCTGATGGCCAAATACCTGCAGAAATCGGAGAACTCGCGGCGCTTTATCTTCTAAACTTGTCACACAATGCTTTCTCCGGTAACATTTCTTCGTCTGTAGGGCATTTGAGGCAGCTAGGGTCTTTAGACCTTTCGAGCATCTCTCTTAGAGGCAAAATCCCTTCACAACTCGCAAGGCGTAATTGCCGAGTTGCTATTGTTCGACGAACACGACTCTCGTCAATGGTATGATATTGTCCACTTTGAGCATAAGCTCTCATGGCTTTGCTTAGGGCTTCCCCAAAAAGCCTCGTACCAATGTAGTTAGTATTCCTCACTTATAAACCCATGATCATTCCCTAAATTAGCCGATGTGGGACTTCCATCATCCAACACCTCCCCTCGAACAAAGTGTGCCTCCCCTTAATCGAGGCTCGACTCCTTTGGAGTCTTAGTCATTTTTTACTGCCTTCGAGGAGGGGCTTGGCTCCTTTTCTTTAAGAGTTCTTTGTTCGATATTTGAGGATTTACCAATCTATTGGCACGACTAAGTTTAGGGCATGGCTCTGATACCATGTTAGACGAATACGACTCTCCACAATGGTATGATATTGTCCACACATCGGGACTTCCATCATCCAACAGCTATAATATATAGAAACGGGCCAGAGCCCCATATATATATATATATGTTATGTATGTATGTATTTTAATGGCTGTGGAGACTACATCTTAGAATTCATCGATAAAAACCTCTAACCGCCACGAGTTTACTATCCTGGTGTTATCAAGTACATTCTTTCTTGCGTTTTCTCTCTTATCATTTGTATTCTTTAACTAGATCGAGTGTGTGAGTTGTGTGTTCCAAACAATTGAGTGGGTCTGTGATAGATAAGAGAACGACTCGGATTTTTTAGACCTTCCATCAAAGCTTAGATGGTTGCAGAACTTAGGACCAAACTTCCTAAATCCCAAAGAAAAACTTGTGATAACATACTAGGATATGATGTAATGACAACCTTCAAGTAGATTGCCTATTGAGTACTTTTATACTCACGTCATTCTATATTTCTTTTTTAAGTATTCGCTGTTTGGTTGTTTAGGTAGGGAGTGTGACTCTTACGCGCAAAGAAGACAAGGTGTCGGTACGGTAATGGCACCCAATCGGTCACGCGAAGGTTGAGACAATACGAGTGTCATGATGCGATCAAGGAAGACGGTTCATCATCTAGCATACTTGCATGAAAGCTAAGCTAAGGCATAGGCGAGACAGAAGCAATGATATCAACATGAGTGTCGGAGATAGACTTGTTGAATGGTAGGGTGGGGCTGATCCTTAACCTCGCAAGTCAGGATTCTGGAGAAAATTTGGGCATGCGGTTCTTGAATAAAGTTTGTCCATATGAAATATGAAATCTCACCAAATATGGTGTCCTTCGGACAGTAGACGGATGCTTCACGACATCGCATGTCTGTTTGCCAAATCATGTCTACACCTGCTATACCAAAAATGCCTCAAAATATACCTTAGGGGAGGCATTGTGTTAACTCTCCACCCCTCCTTGGCCCCATGGCCTAAGCGAGCTACCTTGTGGTACATGCGTGTATCACAATGAGGGTGAGCGTTGTGAGACGAATGTCTAGAATGACTTCCTTTTAAATGGGTTTTTCAAGGACAGTGTCAGAGGGCACGGGTGTACAGACATTGCCCCCCCCCCCCCCC